GTTGGATGAATCCAGTGTTTATGTTGGATGAATCCAGTGTTTATGTTATCCAGCGTTTTATGTTGGATGAATCCAGTGTTTATGTTGGATGAATACAGTGTTTTATGTTGGGTGAATACAGTGTTATGTTGGATGAATCCAGTGTTTATGTTGGATGAATCCAGTGTCTTATGTTGGATGAATCCAGTGTCTTATGTTGGATGAATCCAGCGTTTTATGTTGGATGAATCCAGTGTTTCATGTTGGATGAATCCAGTGTTATGTTGGATGACTCCAGTGTTTCATGTTGGATGAATCCAGTGTTTTTGGCTGAGGAAATACAGTTTGTGTTGTGTAAAAACAGCGTAGGGTTTCTCCGGTCTTGATCCGGGTAAATGCAGTGAACTCACCTGTGGCGTTTGCACTTGACCTTCCCGCAGACGGCACAGCTGTGGCCCAGAGGAAAGAGCTCCGCCTCCTGACGCTGTTGGACACAAAAACAATCATCAGCTGATCTCTGCGCTCTTCAGGTGGAACAAAGGTTGACCTGGACACGCCACGCAGGGATCTTACTTTGTTTCTGTGCCTCACAGTGAAGAAGATGTTGGGGAGGAGCGACTCTGGTCTGAGCGAGCAGTAGAACGTGATGACGCCAGCCAGGAGCGACCAGACGACCATCAGGATGTGGATGTACCTGCACACGTGTGATCCAAAGGAGCGTTACCTTTTGCAACAGACCCGTCAGTGACTGGATTAATAATCTAAGTAGATTTTTGTCTGTGTGAAAGTGGAAACAGAGAACAACTTGTTCAGCCTTTGTTCCAGTGGTGATCCACCCGGGCTCAGAGCCTCCAGAACCCTCCGGGCCGAGCGCTGGAGCCGAACAAACACTAAATTCAGCTCGACCTGAATTAAGGAGGTCTCAAGAGACTAAACCTGGGAAACGCCACTCTCTTTGTATTTGTGTAAAAATATAATAAAAAATAAAAAGTTGCAGAAAATACCACCTGGGTTTTAATCTATTTTTATTTTAATTATAAGATTAATTCCAAATTTGAATCAGTTCTGAATTCATTTAGATTTTAAATTAATTTTGGAGAACAAAGCGGGTAAATTATTATTTTACTTTATTACTTTAATGTTGTTTTTTAATTAATTTTTGTTTTTTCTTTTGTTTCTTTTAAATGAATGAATAAATGAAATAAAAATGTTACTTCATTTAATCAAATAAAATAATTGTTTTACAAATCATAAAGTGTAGTTTGTCTTGTTTAGGGGATAATTCATGGAGACAAACGTTCTGGTTTATGAAATTTATTTTTTTTAACATCTGTTTATTTATGATTAAAACATTAAAATAAAGTCAGACGAACTCATCGTTTGTTACATTTGAACCGTTTAATTTAATAAAGTTTATAATTATTTTACTCTGATGCAGCAAAACTGAAGGTTTGGTCTAAAATTAAACTTTTTCCAGGCGGATTCTGAGCAGGAGGTGGTTTCATCCTCACAGACCCGCCTGGAGTTACGTCATCAGAACCTGACCCACCTGGTGGAGTTACGTCATCAGAACCTGACCCACCTGTGCAGCAGCACCGTCAGTGACGTCAGACCCAGCAGCAGGCAGCAGGACACCGGGTACTGCCGCCCGGCCTCCCGCAGGACCTCCACCTTCATGCCCCGCCTCACCGCCTCCATGGAGGCGATAACACGAGCCATACCTGTCCGCCCAGGCTCCGGAACACCTGAGCTCGGTTCTGACGGCAGCTGGAGCCTGTTGGGCTGGAACCCGTCGGAGACGGTCAGCGGTTCGGCTGGGTCGTCTGGCGCCGAACTTTTCGTAAAAACGGCTTCATGTGATTAAAACCATCTAGCCGGCCTCGGTTCTGAACCAGTCCCGGTCCAAACTCACGAAGCTGGCTGAAGTTTCGGTGTTGGAAAAGTCCGGACCCACTTCCTCCAGGTTCTAATCCGAGCCCGGGTTGCCAGGTCGGAAAGGAAAGCAGAATTTACGCTTCAAAGAAAAGATGCGCAAGCAGAACCGGAACACGAAACAGAACCGAGACCACTGGACTCTGCCGGGTCACCGTCGGAACCACAGTCCCTGGCTGCACTCTTAATGAAACAGGAAGACAAAAACCGTGGCTGAGTGAAAACGGAAGATACAAGTGAAAGCGGCTCGTTCGGTCCAAATTGTTTCATGAACTAGTTTTAAGTTTCTTCTCTTCACAAAAACTGTAAAATTATTCTCTTTACAGCAGTCTCCTCGTGAGCTGTGGAAAAACTAAAAAAATACTGTAAATAACGCGTCACGGCTCCACAGGTGTCTTTTAATTTCCACCTGGCAACCCACAGTCCGACAACCAGCACTTCCGGTTTGGTTCTGACGTCCAAAGCGGAAACAAAAACTTTAGTGAGTTCAAGTTTCTGACAGGCTGGAGGACGAAGGTTTATTATTTAATAGTTTCATTTACTTCCCTTTCTAGTTTTTATTATTTGTTAAGTTTTTATTTACGGTTTATTTGTAGTTTTTGTTTTATTTATTGTATTTTATTTTTCTTGTACTTGTTTTTATTTACTGTACTTTTTCTTGTTTATTTGTAGTCGTTATTGTTTATTGTAGTTTATTTGCTGTAGCTTAACAAACTGAACAGAACCAAATGTTCTGAAACTCAAAGCGGGTCACTGGAACCATCTGGACACTATTTTTAATAAAATAATTCAACCTTTCCGTCTGCGAGAATTAAAGAAATAAACACGCCGATTCAAAAACTTAATTAGAAAAATAGTTTATTTCTCGAGGCTGTACAGTAGAAAACTTTTATTTACACTTCAAACATTTTAAAATAAAAGTTGTACAAACAAATGAGTCAAAGGTTTTTTCTTTTATAAAACTTCATAAAAACAGAAAACTTTCAGGGACAAAAACAGAAGAAATTAAAAAACATGGTTTCCTACAATTCCCACAATGCCTTTCAATCCTCCACCGGTTCGTTAACGGTGCCCGATCGTACCGTCAGCTCTTTGCACGCGTTATTGTACGCCGTGTTACGATAATGACTTCCAGCCTTAATTATAAAGGTGTGCTAAATTATATCCTGTAACCTGATTATTAATATCAAATATGTGTTGTATTAATAAAGTATATTTATGAAACATACCATATTTATTAATATCAATTCAAATACATCTTTCTATAAATGTATTAATTTTCCTAGACAATGTTATAATTCCGTTTATGAATAAGAACTTTCTTAATTTACTTAAAGAAAGTATGCGCTCTATCTCAGCCGATCTGCATGTTGCTCATTTACGCCACTCGTATTTACGTCACTGGTTAAAGTGAAGCAGCGC